CCCGCATCCACCCCGCCCCCAGCCCGACTGCCCGCGACGGTGGTCGTCTCGTCCTCCTTGGTCCCCCACCCGGCCAAGGACTCGGGTACAGACCCCCAAGACCCCCACGAGGGCCGAGACAGGACGCTGGGACAAACCCCGCGGCCGAGGACAGAGACTACAGTAGGGATTCCGTGGGGCGCAGGGAGACGCGAGCCGCGCGCCGCTTCCAGGTGGTTCTGGGAGGTTAAAACCAGCCCCTCCCGGTCTCGGCCCACCCCGCGCACGCACCATCTCGCGGCCGCGCTCCGGGCTCTCAGGGCGTCTTCCCCACGGCTCCGCAGCCCCGAAAAGTGAGAGCGAGGGAGACAGAACACCTAAGGCCGCTCCCGGCAGGCGCGCAAGAGCGCCACCGCCGGCTGAAACGCTAACTCAGGACGCGAGCGCGCCCGCCACCCGCGGTGAATGAACAATGCTTTGGTCCCTCGCACCCTGATTGGACAATGCTTCAGGAACCCGCGACGTGATTGGGCAGGACGCCCGTCCTGAAGAACTTGATTGGACAAATCTCCGTCACGCCACCAGGCCATGATCGCCCTGATTGTGAGACCCTCATCCTATCCCATGACTGGGCAGTTCCTCGGCCCCGCCCCTGCAGCCCCGATTTTGCTCTGGGCACCGCCTCCGTTTTTCCTCATTGGACAGACCAGGGAGCTTGGATGGGCGGAGGCGGAGGTCACCGGGCTTAAAGCGGCTTTAGCGCGGATTGTCGGCCTCAGCGGTTCCCTGCGGGCCATCCTCGGCTAAGCTGCGCCCTCTGGCGGCGCTGGACGTGGGCTCCCAGCTGAACCCGTTCCCAGCCGGCGGACACTCGGTCGCCCCGCAGTTCATGGGCACCACCTTGTCCTCCTCATGGACAGGGCAGTCCTGACTCAGTTTTCCAGTGTGTTGACGGGGTCCAGAGGAGGAGGGGGGTCGGGCTGGTCCCAACAGGAGGGCCTGGTGACTTCTGGGATCAGGAATGGGCATAGTGACGAGGTCTCCGCGGATTTGTGCCCTTTAAGAACACTCATTCACGTGATCTGGTGCAGGCAAGATCTGAATAGGTTTTCGCGTGTGATTTTTGACACCATGAGGCCCCGCCCAGCTCCTCATCCCCATATTGGAGCTTAAAGTCAGCAACCTGTAGCCCTGCGTCATTTGCCCCCACTGGAAGTGGGACCCTGTGGCCCCAGCCAAGTACAAGACTCGTGTCAGCACAGCCACAGGTGTGAGATGTTTGAATTCTCAGTGTGCATTTTCACTGCAAGGGAAATTTATGTCAGATCAGGATTTCAGTCAACTCCTGTGAATTTTGAAATCCAAAAGGCTGCATTTTGATCAAGATTGAGACTTTAAAGGAGCACAGTCAGTTGGGAGGAGCTAGGGCTTATGGGAGTTAACTACAGAGTTGAAGTTCTCCCATACTATGACACCTGGAGAACTCAACAGGAAGAACTCTATGCTTACAATAAAGCTCTATGGTACTAACTGCCCCTCCCCTTAACTTCCTTTTTTCACCTCTATAGTCTCCCAACTTGACAGAGTTCAGTATGTGCACTTGGCTTGCCATGTCTGCATGCACTGGGTTGTAATCTTTTTTCCCCAGAATAAATCCTTTTTGGTTACGACAAACCTAGCCGACATTGTTTTCAAGTTGACAGTTTCCTTATTTAGATAATACCAGGGGTGCCAAAAAGATGTATACACATGACTTGTACAGTAAGTCCCCGACTTACAAACGAGTTCCGTTCCAGGAGATCATTCATAAGTTGGATTCATTTGTAAGTCTGACTCGTTCAAAAGTCTGACAAAGTGAGTCTTTGACACAAATATACAATATAAAGCCAATGGTTGAACAATTCATGTTATAAGAACATGCGACGTCTACCATCTTTTCACCTCAGTCCAATCTTTCATTTTTGTTTCCATGGTTATTGCTTTGTGCTTCCTAGCAGTCCCCTCCGCATGACCACCGCTTTTCCTCTTGCTTCCGGACATCCTGGGCTCTGATTGAGCACTGTACTACTGTACACTATTGCACTGTACAATAAGCACACAGCAGCACAACTGTGACATTGTCTGGCAGACACATGAGCTACTTCCGCAATTTGTTCACATCTACGAATATTCGTAATGCAAGGTCCATTCGTATCTGTGAAAGTTCACAACTCTAATGTTTGTAAACCAGGGACTTACTGTATTCATCTTTTGTTATCAGTATATATTACAATTTTAATAGTTTTTTCCTTTCTTAAAATTTGTACATATTTTTTGGCATCCTCTGTATAGTTATATTGCTCAGCTTTGTAAATGTTAAAAAAGCCACTGGATTTTACACTTAAAAGTGTGAATAAATTATATTTCCATTTTTGAAAACAAATTTAAAGGCCATGATAGCCTCAATAACCCAACCTCCTATCTACCACTAAGATACTGTCTCCGTGGGTTTGCCTATTCTGGATATTTGATATAATTAGAATCATACACTATGTGGCCTTGTGTCTGGTTGCTTTCACTCAGCTTATTTTCAAGACTCTTTAATGTTGCAGCATGTGTCAGTGCTTCCTTTTTATGACTCAGTGATATTCCATCCTGTGTATATGCCACACTTGGTTTATCCATTCATAAAGCTGAAGTTAAGACCCTTCAGAAAATATCTTTAATTAAAAATAGGTTTGTAAAGGGGAGGCCGGTTAGCTCAGTTGGTTAGAGTGCAGGCTCATAACACCAAGGTTGCCTGTCCGATCCCCACACAGGCCAGAGTCTGTGCCCTCCACAACTAGATCGAAACTTCTTGACTTGGAGCTGATGGGTCCTGGAAAAACACAGTTCTGCAATTTAAAAAAAAGGGGGGGGCCAGCCAAGTGACCTTACTAGTCATTGACCCCCTGAGGCAGCTGGAAACAGTGGCCATGCCTTGACTAAGGGTCACGGGTATGGGTTTCTGTTAAGCTAAAGATGACTTCACAGCCCAAGTGTGTTTCAGCTCCTGAGCCCTAAAGCGGAATGATCCCTGACCACATCCCCATGAAACCAGACTGAGAGACTCCAAAGCTGACCTCAAGGCCTGAAATTATTATTTATTGCCCTTTACTTCACTCTTAACCAATCAGCAAGATCCACAACCCCAAACCCCTTATTCATGATGCCTCGTAATTTTGCTCTATAAAACCCCTTGTCTGTAAACCATCCAGGAGTTCGGGCTTTTGAGCATTAGCTTCTCCAATTCTCCTGGGTGGCACCATTCCTAATAAAATTGCCAATCTGTCTCCACTGTGATTCTTGGTGTTTAGTGTTTGACTCGGCTAGCACCAATGGGCGAACTCTTTCTGTTGGGTAACATTGATCCACTGATGGACATTTAGGATATGTCTGCCTTTTGGCTATTTTGAATAGTGCTACAGAGAACATTCATGTAACATATCTGAGTATGTTTCAACATAGGTAGGAGGGAAATAGTAGGGTCATATTGTAATTACCTTTTTGAGGAACAACCAAGCTCTTTTCCACAGCTGCTGCACCATTTCACATTCCCACCTGAAGCATACAAGGGTTCCAATTTCTCCACATCAACACTCTTTTCTGAATTATTTCATTCTAGCCATTCTAACGGTAGAAGTGGTATCACCTTTTGGGTTTGATTTGCATTTCCCTGGTGATTAGTGATGTTGAGAACCTTCTCGTGTTTATTGCCATTTGTATTTCATCTTTGGAGAAATGTCTATTCAAATCCTTTGTCCATTTTTTACCTGGGTTCTTTGCATTTTTGTTATCGAGATGGAAAGGTTCTTTACGTTTTCTGGGTAATAAAATCTTAGCACCTATAGGTTACAAATATGTTCATTCATTCTGTGAGGTGTCTTTTCACTCTCTTGATAGTGTCCTTTGATGCACAAAAGATTTAAATTTTGATAAAGTCCAATTTATCTATATTTTTTGCATTGCTTGTGCTTTTGGTGTCATGTTTAAGAAATCATTCCCAAATGTGAGTTCATGATGATTTATCCCTATGTTTCTGCCACTTTTGGGTTACCCAGGACAACCTGCTAATGGGGGAGGGAATTCTCAGAAGAGCCATGTTCAAGTTCTAGAATTGGGAAACTCCTGATAAAACACATGTCCCAGATAATTTTTTAATGTGAAAGGCCATGAAATTTTAAGGTAATGATGTTTCCACTTTACATAAAAAGCTGTCAATAACCTTTTGTCTATGATTACCCATATCTAGTTTTTTTTGTTTTAAAGATTTTTTATTGGGGAATTGGGGGGATGGGAACAGTGCTGGGGAGTTGGGGGAAGGGGAACAGACAAGTTGCTG